AAAATATTCCATATCTTATTTGACCACATGCAATAACATAATATTACCAAAACATGAAATAACTTAAACTCCAAGAAAAAATCCAATGGGTGGGGCGTGCCACCCATGTGTGGTACATGTGGGCCCCACCCACTTGACACATGGTGGGCCCATATGCACTATGGACCCCTCCATGATATTTTATATAATTTTAAATTATCAAAAAAATTATCAAATATTATTTGAATTTTATAATTTTGTAAAATTAATATCCTCATTTTTATAAGTCCAAAAAAAATTATAAATAAAATATCAAATGACTCATAAAAATTCAAATAATAATTCTAAAATAATTTCTATCATAAAACACATAATTAAATTAACTTGATGGGAAATGGATCCATATGGCTAAGGAATTTAATCTGCAATCATGGGGCACTCCACCTTCAACTGTGGATTACAGACCACACTTGCCTTATCGAACTGACCTAGTATTTCCCATAACCCACAGTCCAAGCAGGGGCTCATTAGCGGGTCACCAAAGTCTGGCAGATTAGCCAGCAATCTCACTCTGTGGATTACAGGTCCTCCCTAGAGACAAGTCAAGGTCACTAAGACCTTATGCGACCACAACTCTATGGTGCATAAGGGTATCTCTTCCACATGCATACGCTTCACCCTAAAAGGTGGATTTCTGGCTTTCCCGAACGACCAATCGATATGCATGCTGTGTGATGGTACGTGGATGAGGTTTTGGCCCTTGTCTCTATAGGCCACCATCACACACAAGGTCACACAGTCCATCGGCTCATTCATCCGAGCATGTTCTCCGATCTTATCAAGGGCTAACACATAAACCTTCGTCGGTTTGTTCTTCATGCCCAGGTAACATGGGTTTTTCCCAACTAATTGGCCTAGATCATTAAGTACAGATTGGTATCAGCAAACCATTGTTTGCTTAGTATAGTCCACGAGGGATCACACTCCCACTGAATTCATGTTCCATTATATCATTTCATTTTACAAGCACTCATAAGCCTTTAAAAGCCACATAAACCCAACACTTATGACCTCACCGAGGGTGTGTCCTTTATTAGAGCAGAATAGCAGACCACGATTCATGTAACCGGTTCTATTTAATTGAAAAAAGATATGATTATGATAATTTGATTCTTAATTACCTGCCCACCAATAGAAACCCGACCGCTTCCCCCCTTTCCCTCTTTATATTTTCAAAAACTACTCCGTAATTTATTCTAGGGGTGGTTCTATTTTTAATGGCATTTGTAGTAGCAATTTATTGAAAGTACAATAAAAGTGGTTTGCTAGCTAAAACTGTCAGCAAGCTTTTATCAAAACTTATATAGGTTTTGCAGAATTGTATTTCTCAAAAGAGAGCTATCAATAGAACTTTGCCTATTCAAATTCCCAAATATTGTGGAACCAAAAGTGAACAAGTGTTTCTACCAAGAATTCTCTTGAATTTGAGGAAAGGTTGTCCACAAATTTGTTGAATATCTACTGATGAGTTTCTATCATTTACTCTAATTCAATTGAATTTGGGTAAAGGATATTTTGATAAAATGTTTTATCAAAATATCCTAGAAAAAACAAATTCTTCTAAAAAGTTGTATTACAAAAAAAAGCCAAAAATACCAGCAAGATCATGGAGCTTTTGTTGAAAAACACTCAAGAAAGATGATTTTTCATTGAGTTACTATTTTTGGTTGAATTGATTTTTCAAAACACCGAAGGACGTGGACATTTATTTCTATTGGGTTTTTCGGCAAGGTCGCCATGGGGGAGAGAATTCATGGAGATATGGTTTTGAATTTTGTGCTTTTGGCTTATGGTGAATTGAGAATGGGGATGATACAGTGTCTACAAATATAGGGTACACGTGCAATTAGGAGAGGTTTAAAAATAACGAGGGTTGGACGTTTGCATTTTAGAGTTGGTATGTTTTGGTATGCGTAAAAATTTCATGTGATTAGGTGTGGGATTGTCAAATATTGAGTCGTGTGAAAAAAAATGTACTCGGACAAATTGGTGGTGAAAGTATGTCCACACTTAATTATATGAGGGAGTTTTTTTTTCACGTAAGAAGTATTTTCACGTGTGCCAAACATGCTTTTGTAGATATTGGGGTTTTTTTATGGGACTAAATTGTGATAAGGGGCTATACATTTTTTTCACTTATTATTTCTCGAGTATATATATACTATGCTCCTGCTGGACCGTAGACCTTCTCCCTCGGATGGATGATGTACTTGGGAGTATTTTTATTTTTATTTTGTTCTAAAATTTCGGGAACACCTTATAATTACTAGATGATTATTCCAAATTTTAAAATTGGATTTTGAGTCGTTAACATTTAGATCCCACCATCTAAAAATTGGATAATCCCTATTCAATCTTGAGACATTAATTAATTAATTATTTATTTATTTTCAGCCCTTAAGGAATGAATTTGGAAATTTTTTTTATTGAAATTAATCGAAGAGGCTGTATTGAAAAATTTGGAATCCTAAACGTACTCTTAGATTGAATTTTATCCAAAGGAGTAAATGGACAGTATACTCTAAAAAATTATAAAATCTTTTGGTTCATTTCTTCTTTGGAATTTATGGTTGGTATTTGTAATTTAGACGCGAAAGCGTTATTTGAAAGCTTTTGTCCCAAAACATATGGGATTAAAGCTTGGACACGGTTTCTCTAGGTCCTGGGCTCGTATGTAGAAATGTACCCCCTCTTAACAATCTATTTTTGAAATGGATTTTGGCCCCAAAATTTTAAGAATATATAATGGGTGTGGTTTGTATAAGGCTGAGGCCTTAAACAATCGAAGCAAGGCACGCCTTTAAATAGTGTCAAACGATGTTGTTTCAATAATGAAAATCTTTGTGATAGCTTGGAAATTTATTTTTATATCTAATTATAAAATTTAGGAAAAAGTTTGTATAGAGCCTAGGCTTTAAACAATCAAATTAGAGCCTACCTCAAAAATTTTACTAGAAGAGGTTGTCTTGATGCCCAATATCCTCAAATTGATCATCTTGACAACA